TTGCAATGAACTTTTATCTATTATTTTAACTATTATTGAATTTGTTTATTTTTATTCTAAATCCCTTAAGCAATATTAATATGATTTTACCTACTTAATATTAAACCACCTTTCCCAAAATATCATTATGTAATAGTACCCAGAGCTTCATATTCCCAAACCAGTAGCTTGAGTAAATTATTGTCATATTTTAATGGTCTGAATTCAACAATTAATAATAATAATTCATAGTTATAGGTTGCTTTGCCATTTGTAATACATTGTGAGGTAAGAAGTAATTATGCCTGCATACAGATGAGGAAACTGAGGTTTATAGGAATTGTGTCTCGCATAAGATTACATGATTATGTCAGTGACAGCTCTTCTGATACACAAATCCAAGGCTTATTTCAGAAAGACTTAGGCTTAAATTCCATCACAATCTGAGTGAGAAAATGAAGATCCAAGTTTTAGAAACAATACATGCACATGGTCTTGAGTCCATTCAGGGATTGCATATGGCCATCCACATGCTCATAAGGACTGAGCTCTCATTGGCTAATATCACTTCTTTGTCAGATACAAAACAAGTTTCACTTTAGAATGTCATGAAGGTTTTTTTTTTTTTTCCTCCAGCTCTCATCTTTCTTCTTTCCTGTCTTCCTTCATCTATCTATTTTTTCTGACCCCTCTTCACCTTGATTTTTTTTTTTTCTATTCTTAACAATAATAATGTTACAAAGTATTATCCTAAAATGAGGGTACTGGGAAAGCCTTCCTGGTCATTCTTACAGTCTCTGAATACATAATTGCCTTCTCATAAGACATCATTTGTTTTCCTTAATGAAAAACATTTGGATATATTTGTAGGAGTAGACAAAGTTAAGGGATGTTTTTATGATGATTCTTTGTATATAAGCAGGATGTGAAAACATGTGCTCTATTTCCTCCTCACTGGAAGACCTCCTATACCAAACTTTATTAACTCAAAATCTTATGAACCAGGGAAGCAACCACCACACTGCCACCGCCACCACCACCCCAACAGCAAACTTTTAATTTCATGTATCTTATATTTTATTTCATTAAGTAATTAATTAATTTTGTGTTCTGTACTGGAACAGTGGATAGAACACTGGACCTCAACACAGAAGACCTTAATTCAAATACCAGCTCAGATACTTACCAGCTATGTGACCCTGGGCAAGTCACTTAATCTCTCTAATACTCAATTTCTCTATTTGTAAAATGGAGATACTAGCACCATCTCCCAGGGTTATTATGAGGATGAAATGAGAAAATATTTATAAAATATTTTGCAAATCTTAGAGTACTGTATGAATATTAGCTATTATCTGAGATAATGAGCAATGATAGGGTAGTCTTAAAAGCATTGACTTAGGAATCAGGAAATATAGGGATTAAGAGTTATTAAATAATGATTTTTTTTTACCTTCTCCAAGTCCTAAGAGTAGCATGCTCCTCAAAGGGACTGCCATTGTAACCTATGATAACACTTCTAATTAATTTTTCTTTGCTTAAAAAAAAGTAAGCATTCATTACTTACTCCAAGTAATGGACTCCATTAGCACACGTTTGGGGAAAAATAGGAACTTCTGAACTAAAGGGGGATAAAGGAAAGAGAATAATCTATATAGTACAGACTATGTTCTAGGCAATGTGCTAAGTGCTTTACGAATATTATCTCTTTTGATCCTTACAACAACCCTGCAAAGTAGGTGCTATTATTATCCCCATTTTACAGTTGAGGAAAGGGAATAGACAGAAAGGACCTACCCAGTATTGCATAGCTAATATGTGTCTGAGGTCACATTTGAACTCAGGTCTTCCTGACTTTGGGCAGCTAGTTTGTGCAGTGGATAGAGCACCCGGCTTGGAATCAGGACGAGTCATCTTAATGAGTTCAAATCCAGCCTCAGACACTTACTAGCTGTGTGACCCTGGGCAAGTCATTTAACCCTGTTGTTCTCAGTTCCATGGCCAAGCACTACAGCGTCTTTGCCAGGAAAACCCCAAACAGGGTCATAAACAGTCAGGAACAACTGATCTTCCCTGACTTTTAGGTCCAGTGCTCTATCCACTGTGCCAGTCCAATCCAATAAACATGTATTAAGCACCTACAAAGTGCCAGGCACTGTGTTAGGTACTAGGGATAGAAGGAAAGTCCATACCCTCGAGGAGCTTACAATCTAATGGGGGAGACAACACACAGAAGGAGGCAAGAAAAGAGAGGGAGGAGGTACACCTTACAGGGGTATTTTGTCCTGGCATCTTGTTCCATAGAGTTGAGACCTGGCAGGACAGCAGATGCAGAGAGGAGTGAACCAGAAAAGTCAAATTTCTACCAAAAAACGAATGGTTTTGTCTTGGACTTCCTCTTCTCTTTCCTTTTGGAAATGTATGTGTGTTTTTAAGAGAAAAGATATAAAAAGTGTGAAAAAGACTACATATCTTAGACTCAAAGGACCTGGGTTCTAATCCTATCTTCAACACTTTATGATGCTGTGCAAATCATTTAACTTCTCTGCACCTCGGTTTCTTTATCTGTAAAATGGGGATAATAATGTTTGCTCTCCCTCTCTCACTGGATTTCTGTGATGAGAACACTTTATAAGTCTTAAAGGTCTATTTAAATGTGAGTGAATATAATTGAAGAGTCTCCTTCATGTCTTTTGGGTAGTTAGACTTCCTCTGTCCTTTTCCAAGTATTTATCTTGATTGCTAACTGTGAACTAATCCCAATCCAAGCAATGGTATTAGCTCAGAATGGTTAAATTATTACCCCTCCGAGGGATATTTGCATTTTAATTTAGGACTTTGGAAGACTGAAAAGCCTTTTTAAACCCCAAAGAAATGAATTTCTATTTGTGGAATCAAAGACCTTTTCAGGCTAGTAAGAGAGTTGTTTGTGGTGCAGGAAAACCTACCTTGCAATCTTCAAATCACACCTGGCCAATTTGTAAGACTGGACTTTCCCTACACGTCCTTTAGGGAACCTTAGATTGTAACTTTTTAAAGAACTGTCATTAGTAGTGTGTGCTGTGTCACTCTGAGGCTATGGGGTCTCTGATTCCTCAGGCTATGGGCAACTCTGACATCTTGGTAATCTGCATTACCAAATCCTGTATATAATTCTGGAATCCTAGGAAGACTCTGGTGATATGAATCCAACCTAGGGTGCAGTCATTTGACTTAACCACAGTTGGCCACATTTATGAGTGGCCCAGTTGTCAGAAGGGTCTCTGGAAAGTACTGTATGCCTTAGATTGCCTCAGGGGTACACAACCAACTTGTGACAATTTGGAAAATTCATCCTCCTACTGGGCTTCAGGGAAAATGAGTTAATAGATAAATGCAGCTCTCCTCTGGACCCTGATTTGTCTTTGTCCAGATATCCTGACTCTGAGTATACGAGATGAGGGCATTGTAAAGTCATCTTCCTCTAGAGTGGCTAATGAAATGCAAAGTATACTGAAATGCAAGGTCTACCTTCTAAGATTGGTACTTTTTAATCCAACATTTACCAAAATGAAAATCTGGTAGCCTGGCTTTGAACCTTGTGGAGGGAGCCTACAGGTCTTTTTTCCCCATTAAGCTTATGGGAAAATTGGTAGGAAGAAACAAATCATAGTGTGGGTTGATGATGTTACAAAATGATTACAATGGAAGTAGAATGATAATGAACAAAAATTAACTGGTATGATTTCTATAAGTCTAAATGTACATATTTGCAAAAGCGTTATTGTAACATTTATACAATTTATTTTATAATATACTAATTCAAATGTAAAAATGGATGTAAATTACCAGAAATTAACATGCAATGTGAAGAAAAGTCCTTTTATCCTCTGCAACTGTAGCATTTGGCAGATTCAGGAATAAATAATCTTTTGTGGCAAGGGTATGCCTTATCAAACATATGCAGATCAGCACTAATTAATGCTAATTAAGGTTTCCTGTCTATCTAGTTGGAAAAACGTCCAAATGTTATGAAATCCAGTTAGTATGCCTATTACGCTAATTGTTTTATATGGGGTGGTTCTTAATTAAAATATGTAAATTGACCTTAATTGCTATATACTAATGGGGGTTCATGTTATCTCACTAAAAGTGACAAGATGGTGAGGAGGGGTACTTAAATGACTAATTCTGATAAATCCTTAACTAAATGACCTTTACTCAAAATTATTTTTAATTAGAAGTTGGCAAAAGAAACATTTTTCCTTCTTTGTTTCTTTTTAGTTTTAAATAATGTCAGAAATGTTACTGTTCTTCGTTAATATAACCATAGAAGCAGTTGTGGATTGTTAATTATACTTAACAAGGGTGTTAATTTTACTGTTTACTGTTTATAGTTCATCATGAAGTTATTGATATCCTCATTTTAGTCTTGGGAAAAGTGGCTTTCTTCCCACTGAATTTGCATTTATGACTGCAACTCTATAGATAATCTGACCCAGCTCCCATGATAAAGAATGTGCTAAAATTCAATGAACTTCCAATGCCTCAAGCTTTTCTTGGATGACTTGTTTTTTTGCTCAAAAGGAATTCCAAAGTAAATCTTTCTAAATTAACATAAAGCCACACTTTAAATCTTACTTGATTCAGTGGAAAGAGATTTTTATGGATTCTTGTATATTATGCCCACAATGTATCCGTTCTTCATTGAATCACCAATAAGTGAAAAAAAACCCAGCCATTTCTGTCATACTCCAAATCAATGTAAGGAGTATTTAAATATTTTTATTTCCCTATATTATGAGTCTGGATTATAGAAAGGGAATTTGCTCGGTCCATAACATATTCAAATTGAGCCTTCCACCTGAAATCATGTGTTCAGTTTAACTATAATTTAAAGCACATTTCTTGAATTTTATCCTGGAAAATATGAGATATGAGAAGAGACTTAGTAAGTCATTGTTATGTTGAAGGGAATAGATAATAAAAACTGCAATGTTAGATTGCAAAAATGATAGCCAAAGTCTTTTCTCTTTCAACAGGACATTGTGACTAATGTTTCACCACGGATCGTCCGGGGCAACACCGCAGGCCCAGTGTATGGCCCAGGACAAAGTTCCTTCCTTAATATCGAGCTCATCAGTGAGAAAACAGCAGCGTACTGGTGTAAATGTGTCAGTGAACTAAAGGCTGACTTTCCTGACAAAGTAAGTGCAATTTAACGTTTAAAACAAGAGAACTGGTGCAAGTTGGAGAATGTTTATTTAAACATCCAATTTATTGGTTCATAAATATTTATATGTATAATATATTTTATTAAAGAATCTGCCAGTTGCTTTGCTGATGCTAAGAAAGATAAAAACGATAGAAAACTCAAGAGCTCATAAAAATCCTTCACGAGGGGAGGCTTTGTTATAAATGGGATATGCAGATGGAAAAAAGTCTCTCCATCAACAGGGGGATAGGGAGTGGAATTCTTATGTTTTGAGCTCCTCTCCCCTGTGTGTGGCGAGGATTTATAAAGGTGATGACCTTAGGAAGAGAATGTGGGCTCTGAGCTTCATTTGTAAGAAGGAGAATCAGAGCTGCTGCTGAAACAACTGGCCTCTCTCTTTCCTTGGGATATCATTCACTACAAATAATCTTCTCTTCTTATTATTATGAGTCAAACACTTTGAAAAATACCCTCTTCTAATCTAGTAAGAAGCTATTTTGAAATGATGCAGAATATAATAAGGATGAAGACTTGCATTCAGCTCTATTTAGGCATTTTTGCACAGAATTGATTTTTTTTTTAAGACAAGAGAGTTTATTTCCTTCCCTCTTCTCCTCTGCAGGGTACTCCTTAATACTTGTCCTTACTTCTCACCCCTTTTCTTTGCAGGAGCTAGAGACTATGGATGGGGAACATTGTATATCATTTCAAACATTTTCAATAAGTTGGTCAGTTTTGCTGAAGTGTTCCCCTCCCTTCTTTTATTCTTTGTTGTAAAGGAATAACTCTTAGAGAAGGAGGTAGGGAAAGACATATAGGAAATGTAGGCAATGTAAGAACCAAACAAATCAATTAAAATTATTTTTAAAATGCTCTTTTCTGGGGCAGCTAGGTGGTACAGTGGATAGAACACTGGACCCAGAGTCAGGAGGATCTGAGTTCAAATCTGGACTCAGATACAACATTTAGTAGCTGTGTAACCCTGGGCAAGTCACTTAATCCCAATTGCCTTGGCCCCATCAAAAAATACTCTTCTCTCCCTCTGTGTGTGTTTTAAAAGATACTATGCCAGTCCATTGATCAAAAAGAAATTTCATTTTTGGTTCAAGCAGCATAATCTGACTAATATTTTGTTCAAGGTCTAATAATAAAAAATAGTACTCTAGCCTCCCTCTCCTCCAAAATGTATTGTGGGATCTGTTTAAAACACTTAATAATTATTTATCTAGGCCTAACAGTGAAATAGATAAATGGTATCAAACTCAAATAGAAATGGGGACCACTAAAAGGTGAGTAAGGATCTCTGCAGGTTGAATATTGACTTAGAAAAACACATTGGAACATTTTCTATGTTGTTATATTTTTTATTTATTTTGTTAAATATTTGCCCATTACATTTTAATCTGGTTACAGCCACACTGGCCCATGGACTGTGTGTTTGACACCTCTAAAAATAGACCCTAGGCTATTCATAGAGCATTTTAAGGTTCAAAGAAATGCAGCCTAAGCCTTGATTTATACAGCTGAATGAACTGGAGCCCAGAAATCTGAAAATGACTCAGCCGGGTTCACTGCGTAACTTAGTCATAGTTATCATCCATCTATTCAATATATATTTATTTAGTTATTTACACTTTGGCTCTCCAATCAGAATGTGATCTCCTTCAGGGCAAGGGCTCATTTTGTCTTTCTTTGTCTCCTCGGCATTTAGCGCAGTGCCTGACAAATAATGAGCACTTATTAAATGCTGTTGATTGATGGATCATAGAACAAGTGGCTGACTACTACATTATTCAGTATTGTTTCCTTGAGTAGTCCATGTTATAACATGCTTTTCTTTTCAATCTGATGTGGACCTGCCATGGCCAATTTGACCAAGTTGAGACAGAGTTTATCTGTATGACTGTCACAGAGCTGCACCATTTACTTTTCAAAATTTAACTTTTAAACTCATATAGTCATTCAATCAATATTTTTGAGTACCTAATATGTGTAAGGCACTGTGGTAGACACTATGAAGAGGGGTAGGGGTTTGGGGGCACTCCTAGATGCACAGAGGCACCCTAAGATCATGGGAAGTTTTGGGGCGCTGGAAAAAGTCCCAGATCGTGGCACAGATCTGCCTGAAAGAATTCAACCCAGATCTTCTTCCAGCCAGAGAAAAAGTTTGTTAAAGATAAAGCATATAGGCCAGGTCACGCCTGTGAGGATGAGTGGGCTTGGGAATAGCTCAACCTCTAGGCATGAGAAATTCCCAGCATCTGAGTGGGGGCTGGGGGCTAAGGAGGCCAGGGCTTGCTTGTAGGGACGAGCAGGCTTGAGGCAGTCTCAGCCTTTTGGGAGTGAGATGCTCAGCATCCAAATGGGGCCTGGGGTGGATAGGCCATGTGACGCCTGTGAGGATGAGTGGGCATGAGGGTCTCAGCCTCAAGGCTTGAGAACGGCTCATCAGGTGAATGGGGGGCAAAGGTGGTCAGGCCCGGTGATGCCCGTAAAGACGGGCAGGCGTGAGAGACTCAGTCTCTAGGGGCATGAGAAATTCCCAGCATCTGAATGGGGGCTGGGGTGAATCTTAAGTACAGAAAGACGGGGGGAGGGGTCTAGGAGTGGCCAAGCAGTTTGGAGTGACGGGAGGAGGGGTCTAAGGAGATCTAGAGTGAAGCTGGGGTGAATAGAACTCCTGGGTCCTGGACCTCGTGGCGCTGAGCTAGGATTAAGGGTGGCCAGAGGAAGTGGAGGGGTTGGTTGGGTTTGTTTGGAAGGTAATAAACAATGAGAATAGATAATGAAGGGAGCTGAAATGGGGGAAGTTTGCTTTCAAATGGAGATCAAAGGGAAATAAGGCAGTTTCTAAAACTTTTAAGGTTTTCCTGGGACCAGTAGACAGACTGAAGCCAGGTTCTTTTTGGGGCCAGGAAGGAAAGTGCGTTTGAATAAGATTAAAAGGTAAGGCTAAGGCTTTCAAAGAGAGAAAAAGAGAGACAAACAAGAGCCAGGTTCTTTTCAGGGCCAGGGAAGAAAGATGCATATGAATAAGGTCAACAAATGGGAGCCAAATTCCTTTTGGCGAAAAGGGGTGAAGGGAAAAAGGGCAAAGGTAAACCCCTTCATTTCCCAGGGGAACACCAGAGATTTGGCCATGCGGGAAAGTCCAGGGTTTTTCCTTTCTGGGGTCCAGATCCCAATCTCATCAACTCTACCCTCAATATAATTCTGGAATGATTAAATTTCCCTCATACCTCTCTGTTACAAAGAGGGAAATTAAGGCTTTATGTCAGGAAAAAGTTTTTTAAGCATTAAAGGCATCTAAAAATAGAATACTTTGTTTTGAGTTATGGGTTAGCCCTCGCTGAAGGTCTCTTCTGGCAAAGGCAGGGTGACCATTCTCAGATATATTATAGTGAGGATTCTTTTGCAGGTATGAGTTGAATTAGATAGTTCCTCTCAGAGGCAGCTAGGTGGTGCAGCGGAGAGAGTATTGGGCCTGGAGTCAGGAAGATCTGAGTTCAGATTCAGCCTCAGAAACGTACTAGCTGTATGACCCTGGGCAAGTCACTTAATCCTGTTTGCCACAGTTTCCTCATGTGTAAAATGATCTGGAGAGGGAAATGGCAAACCACTCCAATATCCATGCCAGAAAACCCCTCTGAACAATGTTGGTGCACTATGGACCAAAGAGTAAGACACAACTGAATAACAACAAGAGGGAGGTCTCTTACAATAGATTCTGGGGTGTTTGATCATGTGAAGTCAATTTAGTGTCATAGTGTGGCTCAAGGCCCAGACTTGAAGCCAAGACCACCTGGGTTCAAGTCTCGCCTCCAAGTCCCTACGTGATCCTAGGCAAGTCAGCCTCTCAGTACTCTTGAGAAACTCTCTAACACAATAAATTGAAGAAAAGTGCTCACTTTCATTAATAGATAGGATGTCCTCATCCGCATACACAGGTCTACTTCTCTATTGCTATTATTTTAATCACTTAACCTCTAAGTGCCCCAGGCTACTCTGTAAGACTCTAAATTGCAGAACAAGTACAGATCTGCATTTACCCAAGGGGTTTTCCTCATTAGGATTTCCCTATATCAGCTTCTCAAAGTGTGGTTCACCCACTCCTGGGAGTCCCAAAGACCCTTTCACAGGCTATACAAGGTTGATTGTTTGTGTTTTTCACTCTCATTCTCTCATAAGTGTGCAGTAGAGTTTCTTAGAGAGCTGTGAAAGTAAACATTAGTTCCAAACCTGAAGACTGAATTGATGTCTCATCTCATTAGATATAATGAACATAAATAAAAGCTCTTTGCATCTTAGAAAGGGGTCTTAAAAAGTTTGAGAACTGCTGCCCTATACCAAAGAAATCGCAAGTCCAGCCCGACCTCTCTAATACATGTTTTAATTACAGCGTCATTACAACATGCTCTCTCACCTGGAACACTTTTTTTTTTTTCCTTCCTGCTTACTTGAAGGGCTACAGGTTATGAGCCCCGTATCTGCCAGTTGGCCAACACTGACACAGACCGTGTTTACTGACCGAAAGTTGCAAACTTCCTACTGTTCTTGTCCTACCTAGGTCATATGATCATAGCATTAGTGGTGGAAGTAATTTAGATGCCATTAATGCCAACCCCCATATTTATCAAGAAATGAAGGGTCCAAGGGATTAAATGACTTGACCAAAGTCACAAAGTAACAGAGCCTAAGTTCAAGTCAATCCAGGTCGTTTTACTCTGAATTTAGTAATCTAGAGTAAGTAACTTGTAGTAATCACTGCCTTCCCATGGTTAGGTGATTAGGAAAGATTTCAGAGACCATGAAGATTTGAATCTGGATCATTTGAAGCTTATGTTTTAATGTCCATTGCTTTTATAAAAAGCAATTTTTGGTTGAATAATAAATGCTATCAACTTGAGAGGTTAGGAGCCACCTGGCCAATGATGCTGTGGATATGAAGCTGAAAGACCTGGATTTGAATTAGAGCTCTTTTCAATTACTGCC